AGTGTAATGGTGAATTCTCATTAAAGACATTATTCAGGGTAGACGGCCTTTGGCATTAAAGGCTATTTAAGTGGTGGAGCATAGGTGTTTAGGGTTACCTGAAGATCTGGAGGATGCAAGATATTATGCAAAACCGCAAGAGAGAGAAAGACTTGTTGGTGACCGCAGATTTTCAGTCACTTCTCCTTTGCCAATTGTTGTTGCATAATGTTCCTCCTTTGTTGTAAACAGATGTTCCCCCATACTTAGATATTTTTCCGGGAATCATAAAGATAATCTCCAAAACTCTATAGAATCGGACTCTAGCTTGCCTCAAGGATAAAATTCGATCCTCCTAGACACTCTAAGGTTTTAAATTTCCTTTCCCTTCTTAGTTCTCTTTTCTTTTCTTCTCTTTTTCGGATTTTTTTTTTCGGAAAGAGGAAACAACCTTTTATAGAGAGAGAGTCTAAGGGACGAAATTGTATCTAGATTTTGATGTTTTTCCAAGGTAAACTGAGTTTTCTCCTTTTGTTGAATCATTCCAATGAAATCGCTGGTCTCCGTCTTTAGTGACTGAAAACCGCGTTGATCCTCTTTCTCTCCGACGTTTTTGCACATATCTGCATATAGGACAATGAAAAACAAGAATGCATGTGGGTTGAAAGAGGTTAGGCTCGGTGGGGAACTAGCTAAAGATGAACTAGCCATTCAGGATCAACAAAGAGTGGTGAGAGGGTAAAGGAGTCCCGATTTTATGATTCGTTTCCCTGATTTAATGCTTCAATGAGAAAATTAAGTCAAAATTAAGTCCAGATAAAAAATGAGCTAGTATATCCTGTCAGAAAGAATCTCCATGCATAGAAGTCCTCTGGTGGGAGTTTGTAATGCAAGTATTCTAGCTACCGCCTAGTCTAGGCCTAAATCACAAAAAGAGCAAAAAACGAGGAAGTAGCGTAGAAGCACACTGGTCTAATTCATCATAGTAATGTTTATTGTGTTCCTGGTTTGAAAACTTTTTGAAAAATATTTTGAAAAACGATTTTTGAAATTTTTTTTCTTTTTTATGAAAAACATTTTGAAAAACATTTTGAAAAACTTTTATGTGTCCAAAACAAACTCAAAACAAATCAAATTTCATTAGTAACGGATGAACATCCTCCCCCAGACTTATTTCACACTGTCCTCAGTGTGATAAATCTGGAAAGAATGGTAAAGAAAATAGAAAAGTTGAAATGTTTAAGAGTACTTATCGTGCTGGAGAGTGTTGCTCGTCTTTTTTTATTTGTTCTTCCTTATTGAAAACCTGAAATTAAATGAAACAGAAGCAAAGCAATGGAAATAAAAAATAAATGTCAAAGGGAAATAGATAAAATACCAAGTGGGTTGCCTCCCACTAAGCGCTTGTTTCAAGTCATTAGCTTGACATTGTTGCTCGATTAGACTTAACCGGGGTCGTGACTCTCCTTGATCTCATCATTAGCCGATGATGGATCAATCAAAAACATTACTTCTCTTTCTTCTTTTCTTTTTTCAGCCAGATATGGCTTTACACGCTGTCCATTCACTGTGAAGGAGCTTCCGGTTTTGTCCCACAGGAAAATGGCTCCGTATGGCTTGACTTCTTTTATCGTGAAGGGTCCTGACCATCTTGATCGTAATTTTCCTGGAAAAAGCTTAAGACGAGAATTGAAAAGAAGAACCTTATCGTTAGGAACAAAAGTTCTATGAATAATCTTCTTATTATGATATGCTTTAGTCTTCTCCTTGTAGATCTTCGAGTTTTCGTAAGCATTGTGTCGGATTTCTTCTAACTCGTGAAGTTGAAGTAGTCTTCTTTCTCCAGCTGTTTTCAGGTTCATATTCATCTCCTTGATAGCCCATTGCGCCTTATACTCGAGTTCTACTGGAAGGTGACATGCTTTTCCATAGACTAGGTTGAATGGTGTTGTTCCTAACGGTGTCTTGAATGCTGTTCGATATGCCCATAATGCATCGTCAAGCTTGGTAGACCAATCCTTGCGATGAACTGTAGTTGTTTTCTGCAAAATCGACTTGATTTCTCTGTTTGAGATTTCTACTTGACCGCTGGTTTGGGGATGGTATGGAGAAGCAACTTTATGCGTAACTCCATTCTTTCTAAGAAGATTCTCGAAAACTCTGTTGATAAAATGTGATCCTCCGTCGCTTATCACAATTCTAGGAACTCCAAAACGCGGGAATACCACAGATTTAAGACGAGCTATGGCATCCGAAAAAAATTCCTTCCATCTCTTCTTCAGCCACGCATCTTCGGAAAAACCCATCAGCACATCTCTTATAGAGATAGGGTTCATCCCAAAAATTATGTCTTACGTCTTTCAGAAACTTTTTCTTCCTATATCCAAAAAATTGCGGTGGTTCTACATCAGCTGCTAGGTAATTTGCTATGTGCCTAAACCATGGGGTGTTGAAAGCATCTGATCTTCGCATTAGTGGACGTGGTGGTGCGGCACTGGTATTGGTGGGGGTAGTATCTATTGCATAGATGTTTTCTTCTGGCAAACTATCATTTAAAGGCAATCTTTCTTTAACTCGAATTCGTGAAAGATGGTCTGCAACTCCATTATCTGCGCCTTTTCGATCTCGAATTTCGATGTCGAATTCTTGCAGTAGGAGGATCCATCTTATCAACCGAGGTTTAGCGTCTTTCTTAGACATTAAATACTTGATTGCAGCATAATCAGTATGAACTATAACCTTAGATCCTACGAGATAAGAACAGAATTTCTCAAATGCAAATACGACAGCTAGAAGTTCTTTCTCTATTGTAGCATAATTGCATTGAGCTTCGTCAAGAGTTCTGCTTGCGTAGTAGATAACGTGCAGTTTCTTATCTTTTCGTTGGCCAAGCACTGCTCCGACTGCATAGTCACTTGCATCGCACATGATTTCAAATGGGAGTTTCCAATCAGGTGCTTGCACGACTGGAGCGGAGACAAAGGCTTCTTTGATCTTATGAAACGCGGCTAAGCACTCATCGTCGAACTCGAAGTTCGTTTCCTTGCAAAGCAAACGCGTAAGAGGTCTAGCTATTTGAGAAAAATCTTTTATGAAGCGCCTATAGAATCCTGCGTGTCCTAAGAAACTACGAATGCCTTTTACGTTTGTGGGAAGTTGTAGGCTGGTCATGACTTCGATTTTGGCTTTGTCAACTTCAATACCTTTTCCCGGAATCCTGTGCCCAAGCACGATTCCGTCTCGTACCATGAAGTGACATTTTTCCCAATTTAATACTAAATGCTTATCTTCACATCTTTGCAGAACTTTACCAAGGTTTCCTAGGCATTTTTCAAAGGAAGATCCATAAACGGAGAAATCATCCATGAATACTTCCATGAAATCTTCAATAAAGTCTGTGAAGATCGACATCATGCACCGCTGGAAGGTAGCAGGTGCATTACACAATCCAAAAGGCATACGTCGGTAAGCGAACGTGCCATATGGACAAGTGAATGTCGTTTTTTCTTGATCCTCCGGTCGAATAGGAATTTGGAAAAATCCGGAGTATTCATCAAGGAAGCAATAGTAAGGGTGATTAGCTAACCTTTCTAGCATTTGATCTATGAATGGAAGTGGAAAATGATCTTTCCTAGTTGCTGCATTCAGTTTCTGGTAATCGATGCACATACGATGTCCAGTTACTGTTCTTGTAGCGATCATTTCATCTTTATCATTTTTAATGACAGTGACTCCTCTTTTCTTCGGAACAACATGAACTGTGCTAACCCAAGTGCTATCTGAGATAGAAAAGATTATTCCAGCTTCTAAAAGCTTCATATTCTCCTTCTTGACAACATCCATGAGATTAGGGTTCAGTCTCCTTTGACCTTCGATTGAGTTTTTAGCATTATCCTCTAGATTTATCTTGTGCATACAAAGATCTGGAGAGATTCCAGGTATTTCATCAAGTGAATATCCTAAGGCTTTTCTATGCTTTCTCAGCTCAGTCAACAGCATTGTGGTTTCTTCTTCCGTCAAACCAGAGTTTATTTTGACAGGATAAGTAGAATTTGGTCCAAGGAAAGCGTACTTAAGTCCAACGGGAAGAGGTTTAAGCTCGACTTTAGGGGCTTTAAGCACGCTTTAAGGATCATTAATTGCTGCAGCGGTGTCTTTAGGAGGTGTAGGAATATTTGTTTGGTCCTTAAGATCTAGATAGTTCAGAGGTTTCCTATAAGTTTCGGATTTATCAAGCATACGTGCGCACTCACTTGAAATTTCTTCAAGGAAATTGCGTTCGTCTATTGCGGGTGAAAGCGTGACACTTAAAGGATCGTCTAGAATTAGATCTTCATAGACTTCCTCAATAATTCCGTCTAACTCATCAACCCAACAAATTTTGCCATCCAGAGTCGGTTTATCGAAACTTTTGTTCATGTCAAACTGCATAACTAGGCCGGCTAGATGAAGGTCAATTTTTCTTTCAGAAACATTGATTATGGCTCCGGCTGTAGATAGGAATGGTCTTCCAAGAATAAGGGGATCCTTAGGTTCTCTTTCTAGTTCTAGAACTACGAAGTCGGTGGGTATGGAACATTTTTCGATTTCGACAGGAACATCAATTAGGATACCTACAGGTTGTCTAACATAACGATCAGCTAATACTAAGGAAATTTTAGTAGGCTGAAAAGTGTGGTGTCCTAAACGTTTTGCTACTGAAAGATGCATCATGTTTATGCTAGATCCTAAATCACAGAGAGCACGCTCAAAAGCTACATCAATGATGGTGCATGAAAGTACGAAGCTTCCAGGATCGTTTTTCTTTTCAGGGATTCGGCTTTGCAGGATAGAACTACATTCATGGGTTACCTGAGAAACAATCAAACAATTAAGGGTTGGATTGCAAACAAAGGAGTGAGCTTTTTACCTGAGACAGACCCTCCAAACTCGCTCGGTTCACGATTCACTCCTTGCAGATGGTGAGAGAGAGAGAGATAGAGAAAGAGAGAGACTTCGATACCAAAATAAAGGAGGATGATTTAGGGTTGCAAGTACTTCAAGAGAAGCATTTTATCCACCGAGATTTAAAGCCTCAGGTAACTAAAATCTCTTATACTGTAGTTTAACCGCTACGATAAGAGTCTTTTCATGGTTCTGTTTTCTTCAAACCCTTTCAGAATTTACTTTTATCGTCCAAGGAAGTAACTCCATTGCTAAAGATTGGAGATCTTGGGTTTGCAAGGTATTGTTTACGTTCTCATATCTCCAAAATGGTTTTCTTTTAGAGGAAAGGGCTTGGTTTGGTTTGGTTTGTAATGTTGGTTTTGGTAGGTCTCTACAACCGCAGAGCATGGCGGAAACATTTTGTGGTTCTCCATTGTATATGGCTCCAGAAATTATTCAGAACCAAAAGTATGATGCAAAGGTGAAGAAACATGTAAATTTAAAACATGTAAATTTTTAATGTATAATAAATTTAAAACGACCTCGTTTTTGCTTCTTTTCCAGATTTTTAACCTAAAACGACGTCGTATTGGTTTCATTCGAATATAGCATCCACCGTGGCATCCAATTCCTTTTGCAAATTAACAGGTTTGACTAACAGAGACAAATTCAATGTACTAATTGGCCACAAAAAATATTGTTGAGGTATGTATTTACCGATTTTAATAAGTTCAAGTACTGATTAACCTATCAAAATTGTTTGGGTATTTATTGGTACCAGATTATAGTGTTGAGGTACTAATCGGCTTTTTTCCCTGATTTTGGATGCTGTTTGCGAAATTGTTGATGAAAGCATGAGCATCTTCTACAGATCTAGTTGAGAAGTCTCCATTACTTGCTGTGTCGAAAGAGTGTTGTAACTCTGGAGTTATACCGCGATAGAAGATACCCAGCAGGTATTCTTCGGTATATCCATGGTGTGGACAATCTCTTTGGTATTGCCTAAATCTTTCCCAAGTATCTAAAAGATCTTCATCTTCTTTTTGTTTAAAAGTTCTTATCTTGTTTCTTAAGAGATTTGAACGATTTCTAGTATAAAAACGATTTAGGAAAGCAGTTCTACACGCTGCCCATGTTTTTAGTGAAGCAGGTGGCAAAGATTTTAGTCATTTGCTGGCATTGTCTCTAAGAGAGAATGGGAAAAGACTACACTTGTGGTAATCCCCATTTGCTGTAATGGTTGCACATAATTCTTTGAACGTCTCGATATGGTCAATCGGGTGTTCGGAATTGTAACCATGGAATTGATTTTGTTGAACTAAATGGATATATGGTACCTTGATTTCGGTTTTGCCATCATCTGGTAAGGCTGGCTGAATAGCTCTTCGATCTCCCAAGAACTTCTCGAGTGAATCGAAACTTCCAATCAGTTCATCATCATCTTCACGTTTTGTAGATCCGATCAGCTCATTGTCATCATAGATCGGTTCTTCAAACTCATCATTAGTCAAGTCATCATCGCTTGGATCACCATCCACATGATATGGTGGATCACCAAGAGTCCCGGGAACATGTTCCCGGTCTCTCATTGCAGAGAAACCTGAAAAATTCAAAATAAAAAGTAAAAGTAAACAAGTGTTCTAATGGATTTAAGCTGGGATTCGCAACGAAACAAATCAAAGTCCCCGGCAACGGCGCAAAAAACTTGATGCGATTGTAAAGCGGGGTTGTTGTTTACGTTTTTACTAAGCTTCAGGTTTTAAATTTATAACCCCTAAATGTCTGCAAGTGCATAGATGTGCGCTGTAGTACTTAGGGTATCGATCCACAAAGACTTAGTTGTTTCAGTACGAATTCACGGCAATGCTTAAATCAAACTAGAACTAATAAGGTTTGGGTTTTGGTTTTGGGTTTTGGTTGTCACGAAATCTAAGCTAGAAAGCAAAGAAAATAAAAGCAATTGAAAACGAAAGCAAATAAAAGCAAGTAAAAAGCGATAAAACCAAGGGCGAATGAAAGCAGGTAATAAGCGAATGAAAAGCAAATAAAATCGAAGGTTGTAAGCAATGAAAGACAAACGTTGGGCATCAAGGGGTTTCGCAGGGGTTCATGGACTAAGCTATGTCGATTTTAAACAAGTGATAAAGGTAATCAACTACGTATGTTCTAGAACTCGAGGCACGGAAGTATGGATAGCCTACTTTCGCAGCACTAAACAACTATCTCTCGCAACCCTGATCAGTAGGTTTCCACTCTGATCGTGGAAGGGAGTAGATGCAATAGCAGAACAAGACTCATCAAAATTCACAACTCAACTACACGTAGGTTTCCACTCCTATAGAAGAATTGCTCGTTTCACCCTAGTTCAGACAATCAATGAAAACTTTCGCAACATATCATATCAGATCGGCTTCTAAGTGGCCAGCAGAGAATCACGCAGTAATATTAAAGGCAAACGAAGAACATCTAGAAGATTATAAATCCTAAATCTATCGATTCATAAGCAAAGACACATGAAATTCCCTTTGAACAATCCCTTTAACCCCAACTGGGTAACTACTCAAACATATTGTAAACAATCATCACAGAGTATTGAAAGTTGCAGGAAATTAAAGAAAAGAAGGAAGAAAAACGAAGAACAGAGAAGCAGACGGAGGCGTGATGGCTTCCTCCAGCGGCGGCTCCTTCTTCTGAGATGGCGGCGGCCTCTAGGGTTGCTCCCACTAAAATCTCTCTCTCTCTTAGTTGTCTAAGTTTCTGTCTCTCCTCTTTAGAATGACCTAAAGAGGGTATTTATAGCTTCTGGAGTGGTCTTGGACACTTAGGGCTTCAAAAATAACAAAAGGAATTGATCCGGGCTTTAACTAAGTCGTCTGGAAAGTGAACGACCAAGTTCCGCGGTTGCGGTGGCTCTACCCGCGGGAAAACAGGTGTTGGCCGCGGTCCCGGCACATGGCTCTCTTCCGGAACTGCATTTTCTGTCATTCTTGCATCGGGAGTATTTGAAGATCTAACCGTTGGATTGTCTACAAACCAAGTGAATTAGAAAGCTGGTTGGATCCTCTATGTTGTCTCAAATTTTGGGGGTGATCAGACGGTGAGAAGGTGTTCATCGCTTGTCATACTTCTGACGGTCTGTATTTATCCAAAATTGCTCATTTGTTCCAAATTGCATATCTTTTGCCCAAGTTTCCTGTAAATTCTTTTGAAACTCTAAAACATTGAAAACACTTTAAAAACCATTGAAAACAGAGTTAAAACACCTGCATAACATACAATTATGATCCATAAAAATGGTAAAAATACGGTGTTATCACCTTCACATGCCTCGGCGTTTACCTTTCATAATAACGCTTCAGCATTACGTCTAAAACACACCTCGACGTCACTTTGTATTAGAAAAAAAAACTTAACCCGCTTTGGAATACACGCTAGCGCCTCGAAGACTTAGCTAATCTCGTCCTTTTCTCTCGGCTTGGTATCAGATCGCCTAGTAATCACTTCGTCCAGCCAAATGCTTCTGGTTCACTCATTGTTTCGATTGAGTTTGCAACGCTTTGGCTCGGCGATATTTTTTTGACTTCCAGAACTTAACCTCAGCTTCAAAGCTCTACACCTCCACAATCCTGTCACCAGAATTGACAAGCTGGGGGGGCTAACTGTTGGGGTTGGATTTCACCTCATCAAGTTTAACTCTTGGGAAATGAATAAGTATCAAGAACGGGCTTTTTCAAGCCCATATGTTGTGAAGAAACCGAGCCTGACAAAGGATTCGTTCAGAATAGCTGAACCAAACCGAACCGTGGTTTTGTTTGGGAGAGCCGCGTCACGGAGTACCTGGGCCGAGCCGAGCCTAGTAATAGCTTGATGGGCCAAGCCGAAAGATGAGAAATGTAAATGGGCTGAGCCAAAGCCCATCTAAGGAAACGTGGTGTTTATCCTAGGCGTAGGGTTGAGGTGGTGGCTGCGCAGAGAAATAAGGAAATTTTCCGAGAATCTCAGAGAAAGATTGGGCGGTTTATAGATTTGTATAAATAGTCGACATACAGAATTCATCATGTAACTTCTTCAACTCTAAGCAATTAGACTAAAAACTTTTCACAACAATAAAAATACTCTTTTGATCTTTGTGTTCAATGAGTTTTGCCAGATAAACAGAATTATCCATCAAACTACAGCCCTCTATTCACTTGAATCCAATGGAGTTGCGGAAAGAAAGAACCGAACTCTGAAGGAGATGATGAATGCAATGTTGCAGGAATCTGGGACACCCCAGAATCTGTGGGGGGAAGCACTGCTCACCACTAATTATATCCTCAACAAAATACCTCATAAGGTTACTGGCAAAACACCGTATGAACTTTGGAAAGGTAATGTACCTTCGTACAAATACCTGAAAGTGTGGGGGTGCTTAGCAAAAGTCGCAGTGCCACCTCCAAAGAAGGTCACAATTGGACCTAAGACCGTGGACTGTATCTTCATCGGATATGCTCACAACAGTAGTGCTTATCGATTTCTGGTACATAAGTCAGATATATCAGATGTCCAAGTGAATATTATCATGGAATCAAAGAATGCTTCTTTCTTTGAACACATATGTCCATATAGGGATAAGCAAACTACTTAACGCACTCGTGAAGAAAGAGATGCCACTACTTCTGTAAATGAGATGGAAGTAGAACAGATTGAAGATGAACCTAGACGAAGCAAAAGAGCTCTTAAGGAAAAATCTTTTGGTGAAGATTTCATGATGTTCTTTCTTGTCGAGAATGAACTGAGATCTTACACTGAAGCCATGTCTACACCAGAAGCTCCTTATTGGAAGGATGCTGTCAATAGTGTGATGAGTTCTATAATGCAGAATCATACCTATGAGATAACTGACTTACCTCAAGGGATCAAAGCACTAGGGTGTAAATGGACCTTTAAGACCAAGCGGAAAGCTGATGGTTCTATAGATAAGTACAAGGCATGCCGTGTGGTGCAAGGATTCAGACAAAAAGAAGGTCTAGATTTATTCGACACCTATTCTCCAGTTACGAGAATAACTTCGATCAGAATATTGATTGGTGCAGCAGCCTTGAGAGGCTTGGAAATCCATCAGATGGATGTTAAAACTGCCTTTCTAAATGGAGATTTAGAAGAAGAGATATACATGAAACAACCTGAAGGTTTCGAGGTCAAGGGTCAAGAACACAAAGTGTGTAGACTCGTTAAATCATTGTTTGGACTGAAACAATCTCCAAAACAATGGCACGAAAAGTTTGACAATGTGATGATGTCAAATGGTTTCAGCATTAATGAATGTGATAAATGCATCTACTACAAATATACACAGGTGAACCAGTATCACAGGTGGAGTATGCACGGGTAATTGGAAGTCTGATGTACTTGACCAATTGTACAAGACCCGATCTAGCGCATGCGGTAAACGTGTTAAGTCGCTACACAAGTAATTGATATGTTCATAATTTGCATCATTTAG